TTGAAATTACACCGCAACAAAGGAGCTTCTCTGCCAATGGCGTTGCGTGTGAGTATCCTTGAGTCCCAGGTGTGCCAGTAAGCTCGTGTAGAGAGAAAAACATTCCAATTGAATATCGTTGCACAGCTCCTTTAAGTTCCCCGAGAAATGGCTCTTTGGTGCTCTGTGCTACCAGATCCTCGCGCTCTAAATCTGCGACCGGGCACTCTATGGTTACGCCGTCGAACTGCCAGGCTTTGTGAGTATAAATGAGGCTATGTTGAGGGTCGCGCGAACCGCCCGTGCTGCAGAGGGCGCAACCTCGGCCGCTCGGCCGCTGTTCAGAACCATGAGCGGAGATTGTGGATTCACGGCTGCCGTAGCGGCGTCCAACGCCGTTTCAATCAAAAAGGAGCGTCGCGTTGAAGCGAGCAAACGAGCAAACGAGCAAACCAGAAGATATGAAATCGCTGCAAAACCACTATTGTTGGTTGTCGATTAATTGCGAAAGTATTCGTCTAGGGCAACCTCAAAGACGACGACTAGGACGGCCTATAGGGTGACCTAAGGACGACGTCTAGGGCGACCTCAAGGACGGCGTCTAGGACGACATCAAGGACGACCTTTGGGACGATGTCGAGGATATGACCTCTGAGACGACGTCGAGGACGACGTCAAGGCCGTCAGGTCATCTGAAGAGGGTGTGAATGTGAAGGAGTGTGAGAATTTCAGCTGAAATGGTCTACTGCACATATCTATTGCGCATTCAGAGGCCAGTGGGTTCATGATATCATTGAGGGGGGGGAGGCTGAAGAATTCCATCGCATTTAAACGACGCGCGTGCGCACTGCGCGGTTCTCGGCAACAGGCACGGCGCACTGTCAGGGAGCACGGCGATGCAAGCCGGTCCAAAGTCCCTCAATGCATCTTTTACAAATAGCGACAACCATTAGAAATGGCAAAGCAGATTTCGTGGGAACAAAAGGGCGTCATTCAGTTCAAACCTCTGCCGTGCGCCGCCATTTGCTTTCTGCTCTCGCCCCTTTTCAAGTCTAAATTTTTTCGTTGCCAACACTAGAAGTGTTTATACAAAGCAGGACGACTTTCTTTTGGCAGTCCAGTCATGCTCAGCCGACGTTATCATTTTAACAGAAACTTGGCTCACAGACGATATCTCAAACTCGGAACGAACCATACACCCCTCACATTTTATTTTTCGTAACGATAGATCAGGCCGAAAGGGAGGAGGTGTGCTTGTAGCAGTCAAAAAGACATACCGTATTGATTTTTCTGACACTGTTCCAACCTTTGAAGCCGTTTGGGTTTGAATAAAAATGCCTACCATGTTTATTGTTGTAGTTGCTTGTTATAAGCCCCCAAATGTTCTGGATTTTGCTCAGCTACGTCATGATTTTCTGGAGTCTCTTATTTTTTTATGATGTACTTGTTATTTCGGGTGATTTCAACTACCCTGAAATTAAGTTGTCCATTCTGTCTGATAAAATACCATTTTTATCGTGGCAGAACCTTCCAAAACAGTCTCGGGATTTTGTTGACGTTATATTCTCTTTCGCACTTTCTCAAATTGTTAATAAACCCAGTCGTAGTAAAGCCATGCTTGACCTTTTTTTTCTATTTCGAAACCCGATCTAGTGGCAAATACTCTGCATATGGAACCATTAAGTGATCACATATCTATTAATGTTGAACTTTTCATTCCATCATGTGAGCAACTTCTTCGGGCAAAAACAATTTCCAGTTACTCAAAGGCAAACCTCGACGCAATGAACCAACACTTTTCGCTATTTTCAGCTTTGTTATTAGAGGAATCTGACTCTAGGTTTCTAAATGAAAACTGGATTTTCTTTAAGTGAAAATTGCTTGAGTTGAGTGAAAATTTATTCCGAAACGGAAACGAAAATTTATTCACACGTCGTTTTCGAACCCGTGGTTTTCAACACGTTTGAAGAGGTTGCTAAATAAAAAGAATAGGCTTTTTCGCGCCGCAGAGGCGTCTCAGACTGCTATTTCATGGTTCAAATACAAGGAGTGTTATTTAACTTACAAATATGAAATAAAAAAATGCGAAAGATAAGTTATTTTAACTATGATCTTTGTAATATACTGAAAACAAACCCCAAAAAGTTTTGGTCCGCTGTAAATCCAAAGCAGGTTAAAGGACTCGGTCAGCTTGACTGACACCTCTGGAAAAAGTTTATCGACAGCCGAGACTTGTGAGCTGTTTTGTACTTTCTTTAGTGAAGTGTTCACTGATGAAGTTTTTTCATTACCCTCTTACTGCCCAGAATGTCTTATAACCACCCAAATGGGTCACATCATTGTAACGAATGACGAAATTTTAAACTTAATATCAAATTTACCATCTAACTCGGCTCCCGGTCCTGATCTTATAACTACAAATTTGCTCAAGATTACAAGTGACATATCTAGTGTACTCTTATCTCGCATATTTCAGAAATCCCTTGTCTCTCGTGTTGTTCCGGCTGACTGGAAATCTGCAATGGTTGTCCCGATTTTTAAACATGGCACAAAAAATGTCCCTACCAATTTCAGACCCATATCTCTAACCTCTGTTGTAAGTAAATTGATAGAACATGTCGCTTATTCTAATGTAATAAATTATTTATGAGTAAATAATATGCTCTTTACAAACCAGCACGGTTTCCCGCGGTCGTACTCCTGTGAGCCTCAGCTTTTTGAATTTTTAACGGACATTCACCATAACCTACATAAAAGACATGAAACTCATGCTATCTTCATTGATTTAAAAAAAAAAAGCGTTCGATAAAGTGCCACATTGCCGTCTTATCCAAAAATTAAAAGCACTTAAAGTAGAAACGACCGTTATAAACTGGATAGAAAACTTTGTTTTAAACAGAACACATAACATATTGTTATAGACAACAATTGTTCGTCACAAAATCTTGTTAATTCGGGAGTACCGCAGGGAACCGTGCTGGGTCCATTGTTGTTTCTAATTTACAAAAATAACCTGCCGGATCTTCTGAATTGTTGGTTCTAATTTACATAAATGACCTGCCGGATCTTCTGAATTCGACTATTAGATTATACGCGGACGACTGCGTGATTTATAGAAAAATAATTAGTGTAACCGACTGTACCTTTTTGCAAAATGATTTGTCACAAGTTGAAGTATGATGTCGAGAATGGAAAATGGAAATTAATGTTGACAAAACGAAATTTCTTAACTTTGCTACAAAAAAAACATTACTCAGATTGACCATTAACTTTCTACCATACCAATAGACCCTTCCCGAAATTCAGTCTGGCCACTTTGATCACCATCATCATCGGAAAATGGCTTATGTGAAGTACTAATGGCGGCCTTCTGTTTACTAATGAACGAAGATGTTGAAGATGCTCCTTAGCAGATAATTCGAGGCTTATACATTCGTTACGTTAGCACGATGCGAAGCAGGAATTGGAAGCAAGATTTGCGTAAGCGTTCATTTCTAACTCGGGCCCAGCCAGTCTGTTGGTAGCATCAAGGTGCTCCAAAGTCCCTTGATTTGTAGAACTTTATCAAGCCATGTACGTGGGTTGACGCTTCGTTCTGACTGGTTGCATCTTTGTTTCCGTCGCCGCTGAAAGAAATTGAGAAGTAAATGTACTGTGAAGCGCACACTGTCGTTTGCCGTTGACTCGCCAAAGTGACGGTGCCCGATAAAATACGGCAGACTCCATTTTCATTGCCGCCATTAGTACGGCAAAAGTTAAACTGCCATTATAGCCGCCTGATGTCACTGAATTTCGGGAAGGGTTATTTGAGCCGTAACATCCTACTAGAGTCTTGGGATCAAGTTTAACCGCAACTTATCATGAGAGCGTCATATAAACTACATATCTGCGAAAGCAAACAGAAGTTTGGGATTTTTAAAGTGCCATTTCTATAAGGCCACGCAAGAAACAATACTCATCGCATACACGTCCCTCATCCGTCCGCAACTCGAGTACGCATTCATTGTCAAGAACCCCGTCGGTTGTATTTGGAAGAACAATTGGAAGCTGTATAGAACCGGGCTACACGTTTCATTCTCCACAATTATCAGCCTACAAGTGTTACCGCAATGAAAGCAAAATTAAACCTCCTTTTTTAAAACACAGGAGAAAAGTATCACGTCTTACCCACCTGCACAAAATGTATTAAAATTTTCCTTTAATAAAAGATGAATACTGCCCACCGGCCATCCACATCTCCCCCCACACTGACCATCCACTCAAAATTCAACTGACTACGCCTAGGACTAACATATTCAAATTATCTCCCTTACAATGGCTATTACTGATTGGAACAACCTCCCGGAACCTATTGTGAGCATCACAAAGTGCAATAACTTCAGATCTGCAATTTCTTTTCTCGTCACCATCTAGCGTCCTGTTTGTACGCGTTCACAAACATCCTAGTCTTTTTTTTTTGCGTTATTTTGAGTGTATAAATTTCCGGCCCCCCCCCCCCCCCCCCCCTTATGTAAAGCCCCCTGTGGGCATTTAGGGGTTAAATAAATGAAATGGAATGAAAGCATGCATCGTAACGCAGTCGGCGCTTCAAAGGTTGTCGCTACATCTAGGAGGTACTTATTTATTTATTTATTTATTTAATATACCTCAAAGCGCCCTTTCGAGCATTGTATGAGGGGAGAGTACATGTTTTTTTAACAAAAATAATAAAACAATAAATTTCGTACATATTTGCTTAAAGACAAGAAACAAGGCAAATATACCCACTTAAGAAAAAGTACATAAGGTCAGTGTTTCTGGACACCCCATCTTAGTTGCAACGACCGTCCTCACGTGGCGCCTCGATCGTGGCAAGGCCGAGCGAAAAGAACCGTTTCTCGTACCTTTTTCCTTTTTCCCCCTTGCCAACTTAGGAGAGAGAAAAAAAGGGGGACGAAGTGTCCTCCTAAAAATGGAAAGAGGAAAAGCTCAATGGTGCTTTTCTTAAAATGAGAGGGCATGGCGGCACTCCTCCGGGAGCAATGGCTAACCCTATCATGCTCTACGTGCAGTTTTTGATCACCTTGGCTGGACTGACGGGGTCGCCGACGCATCAGGGCGATTCTTCGGAACGCCAAGTCATCATGTCGCCGCTGCAACTGAACTGGACAAGCGACGCCCATTTTCAAGCCAGCGAGGAGCCTGGAAACATCTTCAGGAAACTCGTGTTCGCCAAAGAAGCCAGACCGACATCGACAACTTGTCTCGCCCACGAGACTACAAAAAGGCCACGACAGCTCTTCAGCGTCAGAGGGCATGGCGGCACTCCTCCGGGAGCAATGGCTAACCCTATCATGCTCTACGTGCAGTTTTTGATCACCTTGGCTGGACTGACGGGGTCGCCGACGCATCAGGGCGATTCTTCGGAACGCCAAGTCATCATGTCGCCGCTGCAACTGAACTGGACAAGCGACGCCCATTTTCAAGCCAGCGAGGAGCCTGGAAACATCTTCAGGAAACTCGTGTTCGCCAAAGAAGCCAGACCGACATCGACAACTTGTCTCGCCCACGAGACTACAAAAAGGCCACGACAGCTCTTCAGCGTCAGAGGGCATGGCGGCACTCCTCCGGGAGCAATGGCTAACCCTATCATGCTCTACGTGCAGGTGAGCAGAAGTCACTCCTTGCATTGTAAGCGTACTAGCAACGTTTGTCTTTTCTCGCCGCCATGCCCCCGGACGTGTGTACTGCTGTTCCTTGAGTGTATTGCTGTAATTCGTGACCTGTTATCATGCGGGGATATCGAATCCAACCCGGGTCCGGATGATGATTGTATACCTACGATGGAGGAAATGGTTAAGGATATTTTGGCTAAACAGAATGTGATCCTAACTGAGCTTGCTGGGATAAAAACTAGTCAACAAACATTTGAGAACAAATTTGACAAACTGGCCAAAAAGGTTGAACAAATTGAAGTCACAGTCGAAGAAACAAAAGAGCTTAGGAATCAAATGACGAGTATTGAAAAAAATGTTTCGTCCGTACAAACCGAACTTACTGAATGCCAAAGAAAGTTGGTCGACTTAGAAGATCGAAGCCGCCGCAATAATCTTATGGTTTTTGGTGTTTCCGAGGACGCCGGTGAAACGGCAGATATACTTCGATCAAAGGTACTCGACGGTATTTTCGTAGAAAAACTTGGAATTCGTACTAACTCTGTCGAACGCTTGCATCGGGTTGGACGAAAGACAAATAGAAGCCGGCCTATTATTGTTAAGTTCTTCGACTACAATGAAAAGAATAATCTTCTAAAAAAACGCAGACTTCTAAAAGGTACCAAAATAACACTTGAGCACGATTATTCATGGGTGACGCTTCAAAAGCGCAAACTGCTATGGGAAAGTAGCAAACCAAATCGTGATAATGGGGAAACTGCTTTTCTGATACACGACAAGATTAAGATTGGAAACGACATTTTCGAATGGGATGACGCCAAGGGGCAAGTGTGCAAAGAAAAAAATCGGCCAACAAACCGAAGGAATGTGAAATGACGCCAATTATCTCTGAAAATGCATCCTAAGGAATCATTGAAGATCTTGAGTTTTAATGCTCGGAGCATCGTGAATAAAGTGGATGACCTGGAACTTATCTTGTTGACTCATGATCCCCATGTTGTTGTTATCACCGAAACGTGGTTACACAGTGGTATTGGTGACAGCGAAATTCTTCCCCCTTCATACAGGATGATTAGAAAAGATAGAGGATCGAGGGGCGGTGGCGTTGCTGTTATATTTAAAGATTCAATAGAATTGATGCCAATGAATTGTGTTATCAGTGGAGAAGTATTATGGTGTAAGTTAACATTCCACGGAAACGTTTTTGTTGTAGGCGCCGTTTACAGGCCACCAAATGCCCCGCCAAAACTCTTAGAAGATTTACATGATTACATGGCACTGCACTTCACCGATAAAACTAAGGTAATTTTAACAGGAGACTTCAACCTGCCCACTATTGATTGGACGTCCTGTAAAGTAGGTAAAGCAGAAGTCGCATCCTCTGAACGTCTGTTAGATATCTCTCTTTGTTTTAATATGCGACAGTTAGTGAGCGTCCCAACTAGAGTATCCGGCACAGGCCAAGCAACACTAGACCTGCTTTTCGTTAGTAATACAATCGAAGCAGACGAGGTCGGTGTTATTGACGGGGTCTCTGATCATAAAATCCTGGTATCCAATATACAACTCTCTAAATCGTCGTCCCAAAAGTTTTGTCCGGGAAGTGTTGTTCGAGATTTTCAAAACTCCGATGATGTGTCTATTCTCGACTACTTGGAATGGCATTTTGATGATTTTTGTCAACTCTCTGACGTCGGTGAGCTATGGGGGAAATTTAAGAGTATTGTATCTCACTGTATATATCATTTTGTCCCTTCAAGAAACGTCAGAGCAAAGAGGGTCCATCCTTGGATTACGAGGGAAATCCTACAATTAAAACGAAAAATAAAACGCCGAAGGAAAAGCAAAGTTAAAACTTCCGCGGAGATAGCAGAATTAGGGCGAAAGCTAAAGAATCTCGTCACGCAAGCTCGAGAGAGCTACTGTGGTAATGCGCTCTCACGGTTCTTGAAGGAATGCCCACAAAAATTTTGGCGTTTCTTTTCATCACCTAAGGAGGTGACCTCGCAAATCATAGTTAACAGTGAAACTGTTTCTTCTCCTTTTCAAATTGCAGAAGAATTTAACAAGTACTTTCAGTCCGTTTTTACTCTGTCACGTGACCCGTCGGGAGACCCTGCCTATGTTTCTTATCAGTCACAAATGCCGGAGCTCGTTCTGTCGGAAAACGGTATCTTTAACTTGATTTTGAATATAAACGATAAAAAGGCATCTGGCCCAGATGACATTCCGAATGCTTTTCTAAGACGATACGCAGAGTGGGTGTCTCGGTACTTATTTGTAATTTTTCAAGCTTCACTTCGGCAGAGCAAGCTACCGGCAGATTGGTTATGTGGGAAAATTGTGCCAATTCACAAGTCCGGAAACAAGATGGCAACTGAGAATTATCGTCCTATATCCTTAACATCGACATGTTGCAAACTCCTAGAACATATTATATCAAAACATATCAATCACTACCTGGAAGAAAATAACTTACTGTATAAGCACCAGCATGGGTTTAGGCAGGGTCTGTCAACGGTCACGCAGCTACTTGAATGTACGCATGAGTTCGCGTCTGTTATAAATGAGCGTGGTCAAGTTGATGTAATATGTATGGATTTTTCGAAAGCCTTTGACCGTGTTCCTCATGACAAATTGCTCGAAAAGCTACGTAAATTAGGACTGAATCGGAGTTTGCTATCATGGATACGTTCATATTTAAGCAACCGAATGCAGTATGTCTGTTATAATAACGTATGCTCTCCCCCATTAGCAGTCTATTCAGGAGTACCCCAGGGTTCCGTTTTAGGGCCACTCTTATTCTTAGTCTATATCAATGACATAGCTTCGAATCTGCCTTCTTCTGTACATGTTAAGCTTTTTGCGGATGACTGTATGCTATTTTCTAAAATTACTACAGTTCAGGATCAGGAGTTACTAAATGAGTCTTTGGGGGTAATCAGCTCATGGTGTGCTACATGGGGCATGGTTATTAATTTTAATAAGACGGTATTTTGTAGTATTACAAACAAGAAGAAAGTGTTAGATTTCCGCTACACTATAGGGAGCACAGAACTTGCAAAAGTAGATGAATTTAAGTACCTAGGTGTGATTTTTTGTAATACGTTGCGCTGGAATAGTCACGTGGACTATATATGTGAAAGGGCATATCAAAAACTAGCGTTCCTTAGAAGGCACCTAAGACATGCAAATAGAGATGTTAGATTAACTGCATATAAATCCTATGTGCGTCCGATATTAGAGTATGCAAGTTGCGTATGGGACCCCTACAGAAGAAAACAGGTCACACAAATAGAAAGAATTGAGAACCTTGCTTTACGGTTTATTTTTTCGGAATATAGGCGTACGTCGTCTGTTACCGCAATGAGAGCTGAGGCGCGGCTGGATCGCCTAGAAAACAGAAGAAAAATTTCTAGATTAAAAGAATTATACATTATAGCAAACGGACTGACAAAAATAGATCCTGAAACATATCTGCTACCTTCGACGTCTCGTTCCCGGAGAACGAGCAACACCAAAGCCATTTCACCGTATCAATACAAGAATGATGTATTCAAATATTCATTCTTTTGCAGAACAATAATTGAGTGGAACGCTTTACCAGAAGAACTTGTCAGTTTCTGCAGCCTTGAGCTATTCGGAGCCAAATTGACCGAATTTTTTAATTAAGTGATGCATGTAAAGAATGCGCAGGCACTTCGAACTGCCTGCGCACGCTTGACCCGCACAGAGTGCATGATCATGTATTTATTATGTGCTTTTGTACTTCCTCTCCTGCGTAGACCGAAAGGTCCGCAGTATTGTAAATAAATAAATAAATAAATAAATAAATAAATAAATAAAAGGGACCCTGCAACGACTTTTTTACTGGTTTTTAATTTGCACCGATCCTGAGCGCACTGAACGTAGTAACTTGATGATTTTGGGGGGTTAATTGCGCAAGAGCTACGAGGCCGTCTGTGCCAAACGATAGTAACAATCAGCATACTTTGGTGAGGGTTTGGCCAAAGTGCAACCTAGGATTTGGTAAAGCTATATTTGGTATAAAATGCCAATGCTAGTAAGAAAGTCTATTACCCTGCTAAAAGGGACTATGGGATTCTCCCCCAGCAGGAGGGCCGGATGAAACGGGATCTGTTGTTGAAACAACTCGGGAAAATAAACACGATGCTTGGGCTCCAGAGCAGGACAGGACCACAATATATGTAAGATTGTAAGACTATCACCACATTGACCACAAATAGGTGGATCTTCCCCCAAAGCAGGTAATTATGAGCGATAAAGGAATGCCCAATTCTCAGGCGGCACAGCAAGGTTTCATAAAGACGACTCTTGCATGAAGAGATTTCCCAGGCTCCAAGAACAGGCTTTGTAACGCGGAGCTTGTTTTCACACTCCCTGTCCCATTCCAACTGCCAACAACGAAAAAGTGACGACTTTTTCGTTGTACCTGATATGGTAAACAGGAAGACGATTGGACAAGGTTTCCCACAGACCCTGCAAGCCTGTCGGCCTTCTCGTTGCCCTCTATGCCAACGTGACTAGGTACCCAACAAAATATTATGCTTTGACCGTCATGTAGAGCATTGTTGAGTTTACTCTGAATTTGTTGTACAAGCATGTTTTTAGTGTCTTTAGTGTCTTTAGGTTTTTTCAGTGTCTTTAGTTTTTAGTGTCTTTTTTCTTTTCTCAAACTTCACTTTATTTTAAAAGTTTTAGACAAATTAAAATTACAAAAGCAAGCAAAAAATAACCTCCTTCATGACATCCTTGGTTGCTTGAGTGGCCGTGAACTAGAAAAGGGGTAGTGAGCTGAGTGAGCGCTCGCGGCTGCCGCACTCCATGTCAACGGCGCGAGAGGGCGCCACTAAAGCATGTTCTGGATAGGCTGTATGCAGCAGGCAGCCACAGCGGCTCTCATTGCAATTGCTGCGCGATTAAACACTATTTCGGCATGACACTTCATTGCCCACAAACGACAGCAAACACGGGGTACAGATCAGTTCAGAATGAGAGCCACTTCGCGCTGCCATACCGCGAAACGGCCAAACCGCAAGACAAAGCTGCTCGCCGAAGGCCTTCGGAACGCTCAGAGCCGGTCGTATCCTCCTGTCAATACAACCGCAGCGCCGCCGCGTACATCCGGGATTTTTCCGTATCGGCGCCTGATCCCACTACTCCTTTCTAGTATGCGCCGCCTTTTCCACCGCTTGGTGGCGGGTGTGTCGACGAGTCATTTCCTCTTTCCGTACTTTATAAACTGCATTTGTTTCTTTTCTGATCTAAAGTACTGAACAGAAACAACTTTTATAAATAATTGAAACGGTACGCGTCACTTATATTTTGTATTTCGGCTAAAAATAAGCTTTTAGCGGCTCTGACCAGTAGTAAGCCCACGACCAAAGACGTCACATATCGCGCGCTTTCGGTTCCGCGGGTCGCCCCCGTCGGTGGAGGAGGTTTCCGCGTCGTCCGGTTAAAATATGATGCACTGATATTTAGTTACTCTCTCCGTGCCCGCTGGCTTGCCCGAATCCAAGAGACGGGGAAACCGCAAGAAAGGTAGACGCTTAAATATGATTGCAGGACCCCTTTCAGGTCCGTTCACACCCTTGCGACCTCTTACAACTGTTAAAACCTCTTACAACGAGAGGGCACACTGGCGCCATCTATTGGGTAGCAGTGTAAACTTGACGGTCGGACATACTTTCTATTTCTCTCGCGGATTATCCTTTGCTTCTTGGGTCGAAAAACTTTAGTCAACGTCATAAACGAGCCTTTTTTATACATGCCTTGCACCTACGTCACATCATGACGTCGAACACCGGTATCTACCATGCTGGTGGTTGACTCGACGGCCCTTCGCAGCGAGAGCAATGGTAAACTGCGCCGCGCTCGGCTTTAGCAATTACCCCGTATCCCGACGATCGTCCGATCGTTTCGTCGGCATGCCCCGCGAGACAGAGTAGCCATCGAGTTATAGAAAGTTCTAGCGGCAGGAAAAAGATGCGGCCGGGGATTATCGAGTTTGCGGGACGCGTTTCATAGCGGCGAACTGCGACACTTTTCTACCGTTGTTTACGTTCGCGCACGCCTGTGCACCGGCTTTTGCTCGTTCGTGGTGTGTATAGCCTTTGACCTTCGTTGCATAACGCCGTTTTCACGCTTCGAGCGCACCTTCAGGGCTCCCGGCCGAATCCGGGCGAGAATTGCGCCGCGAGCCCGGCCCGACGGCGATCGGCGGCCCCCATAGGCAAACTCGCCGAGCCGCCGGGTCATCGGTTTGTGCAGTCCGCGATACGATAACCTTTGCAAGGAGCGAAAGTATGCAGGCGAGCCGGTTAGGAAACATAATAATATAAACCCTGAGACAATAAGGGTTTCTTGTCCGTTATTTGATTTATCCCTGTCTCAGGGTAAAGATTATGACGGTAACATGGAGTTGTTTACCAGTATTTCGCAAAATCGTAACAATTTTTTTACAAGCGACTCCTAGAGCCGCTCGTCA